GGCTGCATTAAGCAGATTGTTGCCAGCAGGTCGAAGGAGGTGATCCTTCCCCTCTGCTCAGCACTAGTGAGGCTATTTATGAATCCATGGGTCCATCCTAGGCTCCTCAGTACAAGAGAGACATGGAAAGACTGGGAGTGAGTCCAGCAAAGGACCATGAAGATGATTAAGTGACTGAAGCATCTGACATACAAGAAGAGGCTGAGAGAGCTGGGACTGTTCAGCCTGGAAAAGAGAAGGCTTGGGGGGATCTTATCAATGTCTATCAATATCTAAAGGGAGGAAGTAAAGATGATGGAGCCATACTCTTCTCAGTGGTGCCCAGTGACAGGAGAAGAGGCACTGAGCACAAACTGAAACACAGGAAGGTCCATTTGAAAGTAGGAAAACACTTTTTCATTGTGACAATGACTGAGTACTGGACTAGGCTGCCCAGAGAGGTTGTTGAGTCTCCATCCTCGGAGATATTCAAAAGCTATCTAGACACAGTCCTGGGTAGCCTGGTCTAAGTGACCCTACTTGAGCAGGGTTGTCAGACTACGTGATATCTCGAGGTACCTTCCTACCTAAACCATCCTGTGATTCTGTGATTTCATTTTTCAGATTCAAAAAATCCAGCCATAGACATTACTATTGCTTTGGCAATACTCTCACAGCCCTGGGCACCTTAAGATGTCTTTGCATTCTGCTCAGATGCTGTCTTTTTGAAACACTACTCCTCCTTTTTCTCATCAAGGTTACACTCTGGATAACCCAGTGATCTGCTGGAAGTATGGGATTCTTCCTACCTAACTACCTATTTAGTGTTTTGTCTGAAATAGCTATCTAGGCTTACTGTAGAAGATCTCTCAATAGGCATTTGTAGGGTATAGTTGTCTAAAATAAATTGCCTCCTTGAGTACCTGTTTCCATTGACTGCAAAAGTAGTCTAATCAGCTAGCTGAGTGTAGGTGCTTACTTTTTAGAGGACTAAGACAAAGTCAATCCTACTTGTATTATCTTCGGAGACAGCACACTTACTAGCCAACATGCAAATTGTTGAAAAGGTAATTAATGGAAAAGCAGAGCAAACAGAATACATATAACCATACAAACACAGACAACCTGTACGATGGCATAAAGTATTGCATTCACTCAGATATGTAGAGAAAAATATATATGTAGAATTCCTAAATATTTATCTATATATATGTATTTATGTGTGTAAATATATATATACACACACATATACTATGTGTATAAATATATAATTTCTAGCTTAATTTCTAGATGAAAATTCATCCAATGAATATTCGAGCAATTGGTTCTATTATATTTATTTATTTTAAATGCAAAATGATCTCCTTTACTATAGTATCTGAGATGACACATGTATTTAATATATTTATCCTTATGATATTACTCTGAAGTAAGGAAAGGAATATGAACCCCATGTCACAACTTTTGAAGTGTAACAGACTGACTGATGCCTGGGTTTAGGCTCCTATCTCCTACTAATTTCAAAGTCTTTACAACCCTGGTGTCAAAATGGATAAATTTACAAAGGAGACCTATACTAGGAATTCAAACTAATTTTTGTAGTATAGCTTTGAACATCAGACCTCCCCCCCTTATTATCTGCAAAAGTCAGGTGGCTTATCATTCTTAGTTTAGATGGTATGCATTTTTTTCCCTGGAAGGATTTCCTTGGAAGGATTACCTCCTCCAGGCTCAAGATCGGTGCATCCCTCTGAGTAAGAAATCCAGCAAAGCGGGCAGGAGACCTGCATGGAGGAGCAAGGAACTCCTGGCAAAACTCCAACAGAAGAAGGAAGCCTACAGAATGTGGAAAAGGGCACAGGCCACTTG